TGGGTGAGAACATCTCCAACTATCAGGATCTGCATTGAATTGACCCCTTGAGTCCTATTTCTATGGCAAACGTTGACGGGACGTGGTGTCCCGGTGCTCTTGCACCTCACCTCTACCGTGGTCTAGCTGGAGCTCGCGGCTCCACCCTGACTCCCTCTATAACCAGATCAACGTCATACGCGACTTCCTCAGGAAAATGACTTAATGTCTGAAGAAGCAGGACATAGGCGAACTTCAGACTTCCAAAAATCATGATCTAATACCACCCACCCACCCCCCCTCCTGCCCTTCATGCCCCAGGGGGGGGCCTCGGGTCCCTGGATGCCCCCTCGGCCAGGCTGGAGCGTCCCCAGGCGCTGTGTGGGAGCAAGGAATGGGGCTGGGTCCCCCAGCTGCTGGTTAAAGAGAAAGGTTCCCTCTTGCTGCCGGGGGCAGATGTCGCCCATTTGGCACCCAAAGGCTGGGGCCGGGGGGGGCGAAGTGTCTGGGGTGCGGTGGCGGCTCTGCGCAGCTCCGAGCCAGGCTCCGGCTCTCGGAGCGAGGAGCACACCTCCTGCCTCGCAGGTGTGTGCTCAAGACTCGGTATTGATGGTGCTCAGGATCCAAAAACTCGTCCTGGAGATAACAGAAATCTTTTCGGGGTTTCCTCTGCTCTTCCCCCTGCATCTCCCTTCCAGCCACTTTTACGCCCTCAGAAGAGGCAGCGGGAGAGGGTGTTTGTCAATTTAATATTTTCTTCTAAATAGCGCGTTTTACGGTGTTTCTTTGCTCAGGCTCCCTGACAGCCTTTTTCCAGGCGGACGGAGCTTCATCCTTGTCTTCCAGGTGGGGGAGAGAAGCTGAAGAAGTTACACTGTCAGATGCTCTGGGGCAAAGCTACTGATGCGCCAGGCTCCCGTCGGCCGAGGTGCCTCTGAACCAGCCCTGGGAAGGGGATAGAAATGCTGCTCCTTGGGATAAAAAAATAAAATAAAATCCTCATCCCTTGTTCGGGGGACAGCTGAGCTGATTTACAACCCTCCTTCCCACAGGGCAGAGCCTGCTCAGGAAAAAAAAAAAAAACCCAAACCTCGTGTTTCCCGCTCCGGGGCTGCCTGGCCTTTATCTAGTTAAAGAAAAACGGAGGATGGATCCGAGGAAGCGCTGCCGGGTGCTAAGGTAGGATAACAAACGGCGAGCAGCGCGGCCGAGCCGGGCGGGAGGGTGTCCCGGGGCGGCGTGCGGGGAATTGTTTTGCTCTCCGAACAGGCGATGCCAGCTCGGCCGCAGATACCGGAGAGGGGAGCGCGGAGCAGCAGGGCCTTATAAGGAAGCAAAACGCGGCTTGGCGAGGCCCAGCGCCGGCGGAGGGGAGAGCGGGCGCTTGCCAGGGCCATGCGTCAGCGCCTCGCTTCTCCCCGGCTATGGGGAACGGGCTGCGAGCACCCCGGGGTGCACGTGGGGTGCTGCTGGGGTTGGATTCGGGGCACCCCCTGTCACATCGCAGTCTGCTCCCCTAGCAGCGGGTCGCGGCGCCTGCAGCCCTTGATGCTGAGATCCCCCCATCCGTCCCTCCCAAGCGCTGCCCTATGCCGTGGCCGCTTCAGCTGGGAAAGGATTTAAAAAGCGTTCAAACCCGGCCCCACAGGGTGCAATGCTGCTGGATTTACCTCCCTTTGGGGTTTTTTCCCAAGGCCCACAGAGCTGACGGGAAAAGGGTTTGTGCGCGTGGCACTGGGAAGGCGAGACCCCGTGTCTCCTCCGCTCTCCTTCTGAAATCGGTCCTTCCCCACCCCTGGCGCGGAGGTTTCGCCCATCCTCTGTCGGAGCAAACACCGAAGCCGCTCGTGGCCATAGCCAGCGGCACGGGCTGCTGCGCCAGCGTCTCCGTCCCGAGGAGACTGCTGCTGAATTGGCTGACGACGGCTCCTTTGAGCCTCGGAAAAAAGCACTGGAGACAGGGGGAGCTCGGAGAGCGCTCCCGAGGAACCATCGTTTCCAGCCCCTTAGGGCTTACGATGCTTTAAAGATCTAAAACATCCTTCCCAGCACCGAGAGCTGCCAACTCACGATCTGACAACTATGCAAGGGGTCAAGGCAGGTGGCTGAGATAACGTCAGGGTTACAACTTGCTTGTACAGACACTATTTCAGATGTTTCGGTGGCTTCTTTCGAGAAGATGGAGATGGTTCTGCTGATCCCACTTGGCCGACGGCCAGGGACGGGGTTGAAGGATGGGGTTAAGTGCAAGGCAGTGGGGCTGAAGTCCATGTGAGTTTTGGACACACACACACACACACACACCCCCATAGGACACTCTCTTAATCCTTGTCTCAGCTCCAAGTGTCACGCCAAGGCAGGGAGGAGCGGTCAGTGCTGTCCCTGGACCAAGATGGGCCACGTTGGCCTCTGATGTGGTCCAGTTCACCACCCCCTCCCCTGTCTCTGCCTATTTTAAGGAAGGCTGTGGGTGATTCTGCCCACGTTCACGTCCCCCGACACCAGAGGTGCCGAGTTTCAGCGATGCTGAGTTTCAGCAGAACTTCTTCCAGAGTTGCTGGTGCCGTTATTTGATGTTTTCAGACCACATCCTACCAGCAACTCTGCACAGATTGCATGTCTTAATTCATGATTTGATTTTTTTTTTTTTTAAGAGGTTTCCCCTCTTAAACCGCGTCTTCTGCAGCGCTCGGAGGAGGGGGTTCGGTGCCTGGAAACTGCCTGGAGCGCCCCAAAAGCTCCCGGTTTGGAATCCGGCAGCACACCAGGGCAGCTCGCCTGCGGGAACCCTGGGCCTCTGCTCTAATTTTGGAGCTGGATCTCCCATCAAAGCTGGCCTTGCTTCGGGGCTCTGACTGGAGACCTCGGGGGGGTCCCATCCAGCATCCAGAAGTCTGGAAATTAAACTGGCAGCTGTGCAAAATCACGGCAACAATATTTAAGCCCCTATGTGGTGGTCTCCGAAGTGGGGCTCTTCACTGCGGGGCGGCCGCTGAAATCGCCACTCCGTTGGGCTGCGGTGCGGCGTGTTAGATGTCTGCAACAGAAAAACACAGCAAATGGTGCCCCGATGGGCCCGAGGGATGGGTGCGAGGGCACAGCCCAGAGAGCAGCGCCAGGACCTTCAAGTTGGTAGAGAGGGGAGCAAAGCTGCGAAATGCAAGGAGAGAAAGCATCTGTGGGATTTTGGAGGTGGTTTTTCCACATCCCCCCCCTCCCACGGTGGGTACCGCATCCCGCTCCTGCGGTGGGGACCACGAGCAACAGCCAAGCATCCCATCCCACTCACTGAGCCATGAGGGCACCGGGACCGCGGTGCTGGGGGAGATAAGCCATCCTGCCTGGGCGCTGAACATCTTTCCTGGGTGCTGAGCATCCCCCAACCCCAGTACTGAGCACCCTGGAGCCCTTGGGGCTGAGCATCCCCCTCAGGTGTTGAGCACCCTTTCTCGATGCTGACTGTCCTCCATGGGGGCTGAGCACCCCTCTGGGTGCTAAGCGCCCTTCCTCAGGGCTGAGCATCACCCAGCCTTGGTGCTGAGCATCCCCCTTGATGCTGAGCATCCTCCCTCGGGGCTGAGCATCCCCGCTGGCGCTGAGCCCCGCAGCCCTTTTATACGACCCCGCTATCTCCTTGCGGCCACGTCCGTGGCCCGCGGTGGCCCACGATGGCCCCGTCCCCAGGAGCATCCTCGGAGCCGCCGCTCCCGCGCCGCCCGGCACGTCCCAAGCGCTTGTTTACTCCTCGCGTCCCGCCGCGTCGCTTCACCCCAGCGCTTCCTGGGCTGGTGTCTGAAAATAGATATTTTTAACCTTTTAAAAATAGAAAGTCTCGCAGAACAGCAGCTCCTGTTTTTCCATTCCCTCCTCATTTCATCTTACGGCGAAGGAACGTGGGCCGGGCTGTGCCGGGGGCGGCAGGAGCCCGGCCCCGTAAACAGGCTCCTGCAAAATGGGCGCTGGGGAAAACACCAGTGCGTCTTGCGAAGGAAAAGAAAGGAAAGAAAGAGAAGGGGAAAAAAAAAAAAACCCAAAACCCCAAACCCCTCAGTAGAAAGGCCATCCACCTTTCGCACGGAGCCTTATTTGGTATTTTCATGAAAAGTTATATCTTCACACTGTAAAAAGTGCCACTTATTACTCATGCTTTACTAGGTAAGTGTATTTTCCTTGGCATCGAGTGCATTGGGGTTTTTTTTTTTTTTTTTTTTTTTTTATAGCGTAGTGTCAGTTAATAAGATCTCTTCACTGCATGAATGTAAGCGGCCATTAAGGCCATATTTGCCATTGATTTTTTTTTCTTGCAAATGTGAATAGCAATTTTCTCAGCTGTAAAAGGAAAGAAATGGAATATAATATGCAGACAGATGTGCATACAGGCATGCCTGTCTCTCACATGCAGGGGAAGAGAGAAGCACATGCACATACCAGCCTGTCTGAGTCTCCCCTTGGCGCACAGGCAGCCTTTCAGCCCCGGTAACCGGCCGCTCCAGCGCCGGCCGCTGCGTGGACGTGGCTCTGCTTGTGCGTGGCCATCCGCCATCCCATGGTCCATCCCACGTATGGGCGTCACCCTCGCTGGGCACACACGGCCCCCTCGGTCACAACGTACACGTGGACGTCACCACCCTGTCCCCCTGGCGCTAGTGCACGGACGTCACCCCATCCCCATGGTCACTACAGATGCACGGATGTGACGCCGTCCCCGCAGTCACTAGGTACGCGTTGGTGTCGCCCTGTCCCCGTGGTCACCGCATACATGTGGACATCACCCCGTTCCCATGTCACGCACGGGCATCATCCTGTCCCTGTGGTCGCTATGCACACATGGACATTGCCCTATCCCATGGTCACCACAGGCACATGAGTGTGACTGTCACCATGCCCACACTGATGTCACCCTGTCCCCATGATCGCTATGCACACACATGCACGTTACCTTCGCCCTGGAGCCCTGCACACGCGCGGACATCACCTTGTCCCCAAGGTCACTCCATACACATAGACGTCGCCTTGTCCCCATGGTCACTACATACACGTGGACGTCGCCTTGTCCCAGGGTCTCCACAGACACACAGACATCACCCTGTCCCCGCGGTCACTACTTGCACGTGGACATCACCTTGTCCCAGGGTCCCTACACATGGACATCACCCTGTCCCCGCGGTCACTACATGCACATGGACATCACCTTGTCCCAGGGTCCCTACACATGGACATCACCCTGTCCCCATGGTCACTACTTGCACGTGGACATCACCTTGTCCCAGGGTCCCTACACATGGACATCACCCTGTCCCCGCGGTCACTACATGCACACAGACATCACCTTGTCCCAGGGTCCCTACACATGGACATCACCCTGTCCCCATGGTCACTACTTGCACGTGGACATCACCTTGTCCCAGGGTCCCTACACATGGACATCACCCTGTCCCCGCGGTCACTACATGCACACAGACATCACCTTGTCCCAGGGTCCCTACACATGGACATCACCCTGTCCCCATGGTCACTACTTGCACGTGGACATCACCTTGTCCCAGGGTCCCTACACATGGACATCACCCTGTCCCCGCGGTCACTACATGCACACAGACATCACCTTGTCCCAGGGTCCCTACACATGGACATCACCCTGTCCCCATGGTCACTACTTGCACGTGGACATCACCTTGTCCCAGGGTCCCTACACATGGACATCACCCTGTCCCCGCGGTCACTACATGCACACAGACATCACCTTGTCCCAGGGTCCCTACACATGGACATCACCCTGTCCCCATGGTCACTACTTGCACGTGGACATCACCTTGTCCCAGGGTCCCTACACATGGACATCACCCTGTCCCCGCGGTCACTACATGCACACAGACATCACCTTGTCCCAGGGTCCCTACACATGGACATCACCCTGTCCCCATGGTCACTACTTGCACGTGGACATCACCTTGTCCCAGGGTCCCTACACATGGACATCACCCTGTCCCCGCGGTCACTACATGCACACAGACATCACCTTGTCCCAGGGTCCCTACACATGGACATCACCCTGTCCCCATGGTCACTACTTGCACGTGGACATCACCTTGTCCCAGGGTCCCTACACATGGACATCACCCTGTCCCCGCGGTCACTACATGCACACAGACATCACCTTGTCCCAGGGTCCCTACACATGGACATCACCCTGTCCCCATGGTCACTACTTGCACGTGGACATCACCTTGTCCCAGGGTCCCTACACATGGACATCACCCTGTCCCCGCGGTCACTACATGCACACAGACATCACCTTGTCCCAGGGTCCCTACACATGGACATCACCCTGTCCCCATGGTCACTACTTGCACGTGGACATCACCTTGTCCCAGGGTCCCTACACATGGACATCACCCTGTCCCCGCGGTCACTACATGCACACAGACATCACCTTGTCCCAGGGTCCCTACACATGGACATCACCCTGTCCCCATGGTCACTACTTGCACGTGGACATCACCTTGTCCCAGGGTCCCTACACATGGACATCACCCTGTCCCCGCGGTCACTACATGCACACAGACATCACCTTGTCCCAGGGTCCCTACACATGGACATCACCCTGTCCCCATGGTCACTACTTGCACGTGGACATCACCTTGTCCCAGGGTCCCTACACATGGACATCACCCTGTCCCCGCGGTCACTACATGCACACAGACATCACCTTGTCCCAGGGTCCCTACACATGGACATCACCCTGTCCCCATGGTCACTACTTGCACGTGGACATCACCTTGTCCCAGGGTCCCTACACATGGACATCACCCTGTCCCCGCGGTCACTACATGCACACAGACATCACCTTGTCCCAGGGTCCCTACACATGGACATCACCCTGTCCCCATGGTCACTACTTGCACGTGGACATCACCTTGTCCCAGGGTCCCTACACATGGACATCACCCTGTCCCCGCGGTCACTACATGCACACAGACATCGTGTGGGATGCCAGGAATTAACTCATGGGGACATTATCGTAACTCCAGCAGCGAAACAACCACCCCACGCTCCCAACCTCGCCCTCCCCGGGAACAGAGGCAGAACGTGATGCTTACACCTGCCCGGGGGATGCCGGGGTGCGATGGAGCTGGGACACAGCATCCCACCGCCCGGGGAATTAAATCTTCTCCACCTCCCCTCCGTGTTGCGGGTGCCAGGGGGCTGTTGGCAGGTTTTTGGGGGGTTGTTTCCATGGGTTTGGGGGCTGCACCCAGCACATAGTTCCCCCAGTGACACTGGCTGACATCCCCTGGCATGGCACACCATCACATAACCACCACGGCACCTGCTCACCCGTGTCCTGCCAAATTTGGGGTCACCCAGCCTGCTAAATCTGGGGTCTTGAAGACTTTGGACCTGTTTATCCGAGAGCAGATCTGACCCTCCTCCACCTACTCCTCCTCATCATCATCCTTCTCCTCTTCCATTGCTGCTCCTGCTCCAGGTCCTGCTCACCCACCACCACGACGTCTTCTGCTAGGGCGGCCATCCCCACTGTGCATTTTAAATAATAGTATTCAAATAATAAGATTATTCTTATAATGATGGATTTCTGGCATTCGTCCCATCCTACATGGCCACACCCAAGCCCAAGGGACCGCATCTCTCCAGCCCTTTACCTGCACTCACCACACCCACTGCTGCTGAGCACAGGGCTGTGCTTCTGAAAGGACTTTAGGAGTAAATTTAGGTGGGATGGGACCCGGCTGAACCAGCAGATGTGTCACAAAGGAGCCCAACATCACCTTCAGCCATCCTCACCCGCTCCCATCCTTATGTCCCAGGGGTACCTGCTCTAGGGGTATCCCTATCGCCCCGGTTTTGGCCATGAAGATGCTGAAGGAGATAATGTCAAAAGCTGTGCTAAAATCCCACTGAATCCCACCCCCAGCACACAGCTGGAGGTCGGGTTGGGCCTGATCCGCGCTGGCTGTCCCCGTCCCCTTCTCGCCCTTTGCCTGGAGGTGACGTTCTCCAGCTGGGATAAAGCAGCGGTGGCGGGAGTGGGATCTTCGGTGCTTCAGCCCCAAATGCAAACCCTCTGCCCTGCCGAGGGATGGGGCAGAAAAGGGGTGTCAATGTGTGCATTTGGGGAGGGAAACAAATCCCAGCCACCACTGAGGGAGGGGATGTGCCCGCTCCCACTGGCTCTGCAGTGCTGCCCACCACGGTCCAGGGATGGTCCACCTGAGTCCATCCCACGCCAGCGTTGCCGGTGGGGCAGATAAAGCTGCTCTAGCCCTGGAAAAAAGACTTTGCCATGCCAGGGCCCGCCGGATCCCAGGTCAGAGCTGAGTGCGGGAGAGAAAATCCTGTTCCTGCGGGGTGGGGAGCAGCACTTCGGTCTCTTGGGCCGGTTGGACAAACTGACACCCCCATGACAGTCCACCGGGCTGGAGAAAGCCTCTAAATGCTCCTTGAGATGGAAACTCAGAAACATTTTAAACAACTGGAAAACCTTTAAACCCCCCCCCCCCCCCCCAAATCCCCAAGTGCTCCTACCCCAGGGGAGGCTGGGGGGGTCTCACCCACTCGGGTGCAAATCGGGGGCCAAAGGTGTTCCTGCAGGTTTGCAGCAGTGAATTAAGACCTTCTGTAAGACCCTGTGGAGGCCAAAGTTATGGGTGGGTTCAAATAGGGACCAGGTGAGTACGTGGAGTTGCTGGTGGCTATTGAGCATGACGGTTTTGGATGTGACATCCACCTCCAAGCCCTGACCCAGCTCCTGTCAGGAACCGGGGGGACAGCCCAAGGAAGGGTCATCTCCCACTGACCCTGTTTCTGGTGGTTTTCCCCAATTTGGGGAGAGAAGCCTGGCGGGGGGGGGGGGGTTGTCTTCATGCTCCCCTCCAGCAGGCTAAGCGGTGCCACAGCCGGCACTTGGCAACTTCAAAACTCGCTGCAGGAAAAAAAAAAAGAACCAAGAAGCAGCATCTGCTCCCCAGGATCCCACCTCTCCTAGCAGGGACCACGGGCTGGAAAGGGGCGCAGTCTCTGCCTTGCCGGCATCAAAGCAAGGGCTGGAGCCCACATCAAAGCCTGGAGAGCTTCATGAACCATCACAACGCTCTGTTGGGCCTCTAAAAAAGCTCTAGGATGTATAAAAAGAAACCCCAGATTACAGAAGGAAGGAGAGGATGACACGGGAGAGGAACACGCACAGACGCACAGGGCACCCAGGGGCCTGCTGAGTCCATCCCGTGGGGCCACCGGGATGTCATTTCCCCCAAAATCTCCCGCTGACGTTCCCCGCTGCACCATCCCAAACCAAGATGTGTGAAGAACAAAATCCAGGGCCTTTTGGTTGCAAGAGATGCCTCCTCCCTCCCCTTACCTGGGTGTAAAGGGAATAAAACCGCAGGCTCTGTGAAAAGCAGAGCCTGAGCCTTCCCCACCAATTCCCGGCTGGGAGACTTGGCGCTGGGCTCACCCATAAGTTTTCCCCCAGCTGGCCTCTCTTCTGGCCTGCTGGCTGGTATTTTGCAATTGCTTTTGTGCCAAGGAGCTGCGGATGACGTTATCCCTCTTCCCCAGACCAGGTGTGGGGAGCACGGCTGCTCCCTGGGGGTGCAAAACCTCGGGGTCGGGGGGAGGGACCATCCCCACCGGGAACAGGGATCCCGGTGCTGGTAGGAGCATCACCCGAGGCTCGTTTTGGAGCCCCACGCAGAGATTGGGCTAGTCTACTGCTGGTCTCACCAAAAGAAAGAGCAATGAGCTACAACCGAGCTGTGGCTGCAAGTCCCAGCTCCCACCGCTTCTCCGCGTGCAGCCCATCATCTCTCTTCTCCTACGACCTGCAACATGACCCCGAGGGGCACCAAGTCCCTTGGAAGCTAGCCCGCAGCCAATTCAACCCGGACATCCCCATCCCAACCAGTGCACACGCTGCCTAGCCGAGGCAGAGAGGTAACACCCAAGTTTTGGGTCATGGGAAAATGATTCCTCCAAGGCAATGACCAGCTAGAAAAGGTTAAATTGCCATTTCAAAGGCAAAACCTCCCTCAAAATCCTTTTGGATGTGTAGGGTTAAACCCTGGCCGTGCCAACGTGAAGGACAAAACTCCCTCTGATTCCAGCGTGCCCCGATTTTAACTGGAGCTGCTCAGATCTGCAGGGCAGGTTCAAGGGCAAGAGGCACCCAAATGCCTTTGGGGATCTGGTCGTCTTGGGCCAGAGGTTGGTGAGGCTGATCTGGAAATCCAATGCCGGTCATACGATCTCTTACTTATTAGCAGATCAACACTGTCTGGAGCTCGTTCTAGTTGCTTTGGGTATCTATCACAGGCTGGTGGTCGTTTAGGTGAAGGGCCAAATTATATCCACCTCTAACCGACATTTTTTGTTGGTTTTGGTGATTCAGATTCAGCTTCAAATGCCAATAATCCATCTCGGGAAGTCAGCAAAATAATTTGCAGTTCTCCCCTGGAAACTTCTTGGCCCAGGTAGCAATTGCTAATAGCCGCGTCACGTATTGGTGCAGCTATCATCACGTATTGAAAGCCTTCGCCCGTTGTGTAACTGGGTCTTCCTGACTTCCAGGGAAGGTCATCAGGGGAAGAACAACATGCAGTTCTCCTCTATGTCACATCTGGGCTGCTACGTCAGTAGGCTCCAGATTCCCTCGCTCCGCTGAGGCGAAGGAGCCTGCACTGGTGTCTGCGTAACTTCTCGGGACGTGCTAAAAGCAGCCTGGAAGGGGATCAATGTTTCCGTTCATTATTTAGTGCCGATCCTCCTGCCACGGAACGGGAGCCGGAAGCCTGACGGGGTTTCGAGGAACCTCAGCGGGTCCCTCCGCAGCCCCCTGACAAACCCCGCTCGCAAACCGCTGTCTCGGGCAGCCCACCGGTGAGCAAAACTCGGCTTTACCAGGTTTTCCTGTGCAAACCGCAGCCTGGAGCACTTGGCACGAAGCAAAAACCAGCCATAGAGACAGGAAGGGGAAAAAAAGACCTAAATTTGGCCTGTTTGGATGGATACTGAACGTGGAAGGTGTTGGCGGTGGGGGACGCTGGTGGGGGACACTTGCCTACATTTCCCATCTAGACAGGTTTCTTGGAGACCTGCCTGTCCATCCCACTCTAGACCCGGGGGTTTAATATCTTGTGGTTCCCTTTGTTTGCACAAACACCTGGAGGTTGGAGGACTCGTTGCTGAGGTTGTCAGTTGTTGAGTTTAGTCCTTCCTGCATCCCCGACCCATCTCACCACAGCCATCACTGGAGGAATAACCACCCTGGGTCTCCAGCAGCCAGTGGCTGTGCAACCCAGCGTGGGAGAGGCGTGGAGACGGGCAAGAAGGAGCTCCCAACCGTGGGAGCGGGCCCTCAGGACCTTCCTCCTCTGGGATGAAAGCTGGGCTTGTGGTTGGGGCTGGGAACAGGCGATGGGTTCCCACCTGGCAGGAGCCAGCATGCAACCCCACGGTGACATGTCCAGCTTTCTTCAAGCAGGACAAAGTCCTAGAGAGCAACCGGACCAGATCCTTCCTGAAATGTGGGTGAAGGCCTTCATGCCATGCCAAATTGAAAGATGCATGGGATAGCAGCAACAGGACCAACTGATGAAAAATGTTTCCCACCCAGTCCGCAGCAGCCATCATGCTGCTGGGTGGGAGCCCCGTGCCAAGAGCACAGCCCGCTCCAACCCCTAGCAGTGCTCGGGAGAGCCGTTGCTGAGCACAAACACCACAAAACGCCTCGTTTTCTGTGGCAAACAGGGATCACAGCCACCGTTGGGAGATGGAAGCACCCCCTCCCGGGGCGAGCGGGACTCCCGCCGACATGGATCACTCACACACGTGTCCTTAGCGTGGCCACTCTCTTAGACAATTTTTTCCATCCCACAGGAGAAGAGCTCTCTTGTGCTGCAGGGCAGCTCCAGGATGGTGCAAGAGGGGCAATGAGTTGGGAACGACATCATTCATCCCCCTGCGGAGGAGAACAAGCTCATCCCAG